GCAATTTAGCCCACTTTAATGGAAACTGCTAAATAACTGGATAAATTAAAAATAAAGGCTGTGCGAGGGGATTTCATAACTAAAAGCACCAGGCAATCAAACAAAATCACAACAGTTATGAATTTGGCAGGCACACAACGTCCAAAGCTTTTTGCTGTAATGGCTGGCGCTATTATGAGCATTAGCCCAATTCCCTTACGAATTCAGCACTCTGTGGTGAGACGGGTCAGAAACACACACACACACACACACACACACACACACACACACACACACACACACACACACACACACACACACACACACACACACACACACACACACATACACACACACTCTCAACACACACACACACACACACACACACATACACACACACACCACACACACACACACACCGACACACACAAATGCCATCCCGCCCTGTTTCAGGTCCGGTTTGCGGTGCTGCGAGTGTTTGTTGGATTTGGCTATTTGAGGAGCGAAGAGGGCAAAAGGGACGTGCTGGCATTAATGCATTTACTAATAACTATTTTATTAATGTTGGGTCCCCAGAGGGAGCACTTTATGGAAATGGGCTCATATGGAAGGGCAGAGTGCGAGAAGGCCACTGGGAAATTGGCTTTTCAGATTCCCCCCACAATGTCCTACCAGCATCATACCTTGTCCTCCTGTGGTGTGTGGGAGCCTCCGATCACATACATTTCTTTTGTTTATGTTGATGCAGATGTGCTCAATAAAGCTCGGTTATAAAAACAAGAACTTATTTTAGTCAGGGTTAGTTTTGGCAACTTTGTGCAATGAACGCTATCGGCCAAATAAGCCACTTCACACCCTCAATCCGCTCATATATCTCCATTTCACAGCTTTAGAAGACACTTATTTAACAAACACACACATGGTGTGATCTTGCACATATTTGCAATACATTCAATTAAGTGCTTTGCTTCTAATTAACACAATATGACAAAAGTGCTGCATTAATGAATTGGCTGTTCAGTGACGCACATCCATCTTTAAACATTCAAGCTCTAATTCTACTGCATATTTTCACACGGAATTGACCCGACAGAACACTCACAACACATAAAGCAGGGAGTGATTAATGAAATACTTGTTACCACTAAGGTCTAAATCTGTTCCTTAACCAGTTTAGCCCCACAATAGTTTAACTCTCTCTGTCCATGACAACAGTTGCACTTAACATACCAAAAAAATACCAAAACTGTGACATTTCAAGAGTTGGAAGGAGTTCTTAATATTAACACTTAAGCAAGACTTAATTGCAGCATAATCTGATAACGAGTAAAAGTATTCGCAATTCAATGTTACTCAAAGCAAAGTACAAAGGTATAGAGGTTTGAAAAATATACGAAGCCAACAGTATTCCATATATGCAGAATAGATATTTTTGTATGAATGCGACAACTTAATGTTCAGCTGCAAGACAGTACAGCTTCTTTGAATTGAATACATTTATTTGTTTTGTACTTCAACATACTGCTGGGTGGATGTCAGTTATATCCTGGGCGCGATGACTTTATTTGAAGTTATTATTATACATTTTAATGAAATCCATTGCAATATATAGAATGAGCTATTAATACTAAAGCTGTCAGATAAATGTATTTAAGGTAAAAAGTACTTCTATCTGAACGGTCTCAAGTTTGTGTATGATGAATTCTTCCATGCAAACCAAGTTAGCCATTGGGGCTCAGTGCTCGACCTATTTTGTTCACATTATATTGTGCTTCCGCAATATTTCATAAGGATCACTGCTGTACATTTTAATTGTTATGTCGGATGATACTCACTATATTTATCAATCAAGCCTGATGAAACCAATCATCTAAATAAATTCAACGACTGCCTCCAAGGACTTAAAAACATGGATGAACTTAAAGGGGAACTATCAGGCTAAATGCACTTTGTACGTCTTTCTTATACACTGGAATAGTGTGTCCCGGTGTTCCACGGGAACCCACCAAGTGTCCGAAAACACCACAAGTCTCTATTTTCGCTCCTGAGCCAAACTCTAAAAAAGGGGCTGCAACGGACTCTGAAAAAAAACGGATCCAGATTTCAACAACTTTTCCTACGTCACAAAGAGGCTGCTATGCCGCTTATTCCAGGGGAGTGACGGTGCAGCGGCGGCCACGTGCATTGCCAAACCTCTCATTTTCGCATATACTGTAGGACGGATTTCCGTTCATTTGGCTATTCAAATGTTAACGAAACGGACAGACTTCCCGTGCACATCAGGCCGGGATGTCCGTGATTAAAACAGTTTACATGCACTTATTAACACTACACGTACCCAGGACTCCACCTGCTCCTTTTCCTGGGTTTATCAAAGTGAGGTGACGCAAGCCCTACTCCTCTGGTGCCCGCTCTGTGGGGGTTGGACGGGGGGGTATCGGCAGCAGTCCGCTCTCTGCTCCTGCCGCTGCGCTCTGCCTCTATCCACACCAACTTTTCCCGGCCTTTCAGAGAACTTCATTGCTGGGTCCAAATTCTAAGTTAACAAACTGTACACATTCGCATTCTTGCTAATTAGGCCAAAATATTCAGATCGGAATTACAGTAGGCAAACGCATCCGTAAAAAACAGAGTACAATAAATACAGGACAGACCAGCATTGTCAACAATAACCATTCAGAAACGTCCTGGCTGCAACCGAGAATGTTTGCACCGGTCCACCAAAACCTATCCCGCTGCTTCAGGTCCAGTTCTGGATCAAATTGATAATATGCTTGAACACAATGCATTGCTCTGAGATTACATTGTTATTCCACAGCTCGTGAATCACAGCAAACATTAAAACGTCGAGCGTGGGGGGCGTGGTCAGGCTGCTGC